TATTATAATTTACATTCCAGGGTTGTCTTCTTATTATGCAATACATCAAAGACTGGTGCATGCCAAAATTTTTATATATATCTGCATCTTACCGTTTGTTCTAGAACGACCAAGTCCTTCTTTAGGCTTGACATTGATTTATTCTACCTCCATATAATGTCTTCTAATTCAGTAATCCTCTAGTTTGAATAACAGTCGGAGTAATGAGTTAATTAAGATAAAACAGAAAAAAAACACAATCATACAAATTATAATCTTCAATAACAAGTGTAAATCAGTATTACCTTGCAATTAGCAACCTCGGTTGAGTTCAACAGGGTGGTTAGCTCCTTTATTGTAGTATGATTCTCTTCACAGTCCCTCCTAAGATTATAATCTTGTTCTACAGCCAAGTTGTTTAACTGAGGATAACAAAATGCATGACAAAGGTATCCAAAACATTACTAAAGTAAAAGTACGTTTGCAACTAATATTCAGAAATGATTGAACTGCATCGATCTTTACTACATTTATATTATTAGTATTTCGAACATTTGATAATGATAGTATGTATTAGATATTTTGGTTATATCAAGCTACGGATGGACGTCATTAAGAAAGATAATTAGTCGATTACTCTTTGAAATTGTTAACCATCTCGCAAAGACTGTCCAACTTTTGCTGCATGCTCGATAGCACCTGGTCCTGTCAAAAAGTCACAAATAATAAAAACCTAAAATCAGATTCATTCATAAAATATAATTAACACACCAAAAGGCATGACAAAGGTATCCAAAACATTACTAAAGTAAAAGTACGTTTGCAACTAATATTCAGAAATTATTGAACTGCATCGATCTTTACTACATTTATATTATTATGTAATAGTATTTCGAACATTTGATAATGATTGTATTAGATATTTTGGTTATATCAAGCTATGGATGGACGTCATTAACAAAATTTGGTATAAACATATAAAGTGATATGAAGTTATAATTCAATGATTGAATTTACAAAAATCACATTTAATATAAAGTTATTGAGTGCTGTAATACTTAATAAAAATTACACCGGTGTCGTTTTAATGCTCTCTCTATATATATATAAATAAAAGGAAAAAACAATTTTTTAAAATTTAATTTTATGTCAATATTGATGTTTGTCTATAATTAATAATTAATTTGATTATATCTCATTAGGATTAATATTTTATTAAACTTTTACGATTTCCTATATTAATATTATTAATTCACTGATATTTACACATTACATTTTTACATAATTAGTAAGTAATATAATTAATATTTTTTAACTTTTTTATATTAATATTAAGATGACCAATAAATACAATAAATAAATATACAATAAATCTTATCATATTGTGAATAAAATATAATATATATGTCAAGTAAACAAATATTTACATACGTGAAAATTTTTTATATGAATTTTGTAAAGACTTTCTTTTATAATAGATAAATAAACTAACAATTTTTATATATAACAAATAAATAAATATACTATTTTTTTTATGTAAATACTTCTACAAACTCATCATTTTTAACGAGCCAATCATTATTATGAGAATTGTCCCATCAAAGATATTAAATAATTGTATATTAGATTGTTTTTAGTTTTTTATTTCACAAAGAAACAATAAATATGATATTTTATTATATAAATTCATAATAATTTGGATATAAAATTTGTAAATGATTAACTTTGATATTAATTTTTCTTCATATACACATGCTTGAATATTTTCATATCATAAATAAAATATTTAATATGAAATTACATTTTTTAAAAGGCATTCTTATCATAATAACTTAAAAATATTTACAAAAAGTAATATAAAAATTACCTTCTCATTAAACACTGACATATCAATATTAGAGGGATTGTTATACTACTACAACAATTATAGAAATATTATAGGTTAAATCTCCATTTAATTTTTCCAACAATAGTGTTAGTTATAAAATATATCGATCCTTGATGTTGTTGGTTAAGAATTTTTAATTCACGATTTATCTTATTATGCGACTTTCATAATTTCATATGGCCTGATGATCAATTTCATTAAAATTGTAAAAAATAAAAAAACGTATTAGCCTTTTTTTTTATTAAAACAAAGAAGAAGAAAAAGTAAACACAATATAAATAATAATAAAATACAAAAAATAACAAAATAGTAAAATAGGAATTTTGTGATAAAAAAAATAGAAAAAAACATAAGCAAGATTATAGAAATATTTCTGTAGTTATACTCCAGCAACAACATATGCAACATAATAAAATAAGAACTTTGTGATAAAGAAGAGAAAAAAAACAGGGATAAAAAGAAAAAGTACATCATAATGGGAAACTTTTTTCTTCAAATTTATTTATACTTAGATCTTCTGGGAATTAATTTTAAAGTCAACTTCCTAAACATCAAACAACTGGTAACTTTTTACTCATGGTTGTAGAAATAATATGACTTAAATCACTATTTATATGATAAAAAGTAATTCATAAAATATGTAGTATTATAATATAGAAAAGCTTGACTGACGATAAGGTTATTTGGTATATAATAGTGTATATTTGATATATATTGTATATATGTACAAGGATAATATGTAATTATATTAGGAGTTTTATGCTTTTCGATTATATTGACAATAATTGTTTTATGTTTTTTTTTTCATCTTATACATATATTTGTTGCATAAATATCAAAGTGTTATTACATGAAAACTCTAATGTAGCTAGTTATTTTATATTTTTTGTCGCGTAGTAATTGTACTATACTAAGTATAATAACTCATCAAGTCATTATAATTTGTGGTTTAGATTTAGATTAAAAAATGTTTTCTAAATTTGATTTGAATCAAAATACCTAATGATTCTAAAGGTTCAAAATAGATTAGAGTTATAAGTTAATCAAATTCTTGAGTTTAATCCAATGATTCTAATATGATAAATTTGATGAATTAATTATTAAACTAAGATCCTTAGAATTTTTAAAGATAAGGAATTGATTTGGAATGACTTGGAGAATTCAATAACATTGAATGATATGAGTCATATATAAATAATTTTAAGAAAACAAAGGAGTAAAATAAATGAAATTCAATTTCAACAGTTATTGTCATTGTCTTCTTGTTCAATTTATACATATATTTTTTATACTTGTTTACTTACTTATTTAATGATCAATTACAAAACAATAAACTTATGTACAAGTGATATTTCTTTTACAAGTTTTAATCATGATAATAAAAATCACAAAATTTATTCTAAGTCCTTATAGATACCACACTCATACTTCAATTTATATTATAATAGATTTAGTCCATGTCCCAAAATATCAACACTAACTTGTCTGAAGCTTGGTTACAACATGCCACATCCCTATGTTCATACACCAAATTAGTTACTCTGTTGGCCAGAGAGTAACACAAATGGTGCCTATAACATCCTTCATTCAACAAATTCACAACCAAAGTTGAATCAGATTCTACTAACACCTTTCGAGGAATACCTATATCGCATATTACATTTAGCCCATACTTCAACTTGCACAATAGAACATTTGGCTAATTTAACAAAGAAATCACAAAAAAAAACCTCCAAATGATCATCAACAATACCACATGAGGCTACAATTCCTTCTCTGACGCCACCATCACAATTTAGGTTGTAACATCCTTCTAGAGGGGGAAACCACCGAATATTGGAAACAACAAAGTTAAATATTAACAATGTTTTTTATTATATGAAAAACTTTATACAATTTTCTATTAACTGAAATTTAATTTCAATAACTATATTACGACATGTTCATCAACACCAACAACTATTGTTTTTGTTTCTACAAATTTGGATCAACCTACATTATCTATTGTTAACCTCAAATCCAACGAGGACGACTAAATCAAATAATGTATTATGTTTTATGTTGTCTTCTATTTTAAGCCCAGAAAACACTGATTTGGATTTTCATCTATAACTAATATTATTTTGTATGGTATAATATTCATCTTACTAGTGAAGAATTAGTGGTATAATTTCGATTTATTCCACCATATTTTCACAAGCATTTTCTATTTCACTTAAAAAATGAGAGTAGAAAATGGATTCTCAACTTAACAATCCTTATCATTCTCAACTTCAAATCCCTTAAAAACTAGCAACTTTTTGTATACTTAACACTTTCTCAATAACTTAAGTTTTGATGCATATGGTCTCATCTTCACCACTACCCAACTCTAGTGGTGAAGCGTTACCACTTACCACTTACCACAAAGACAAAGATGCTTGTCAAGTTGCACGTTGCAGTGCGGTGCACCTCACCCTGATCCCCATCCGAGTCAAGAAGCATTGAGAAAGACCTATTCTGTGAATAACATCAACACTTGATTCACGTACAAACGTTTAATAGCTAAAAGACTAAAAACTTAAGGACTACCAGGAAGGTCCCCCCCTCCGTGCTAAACAAAAGCCACCATCTGCGTGTCTCCATGAACCTCACTACCTACAAAATTCCTTTTTATTGTTTTCTACGTTGCAGTTAATAGTAGGCCCGGCCCGGGCCTGCGTGTGAATTGCTTCCATTTCATTTACTTGGCGTTTAGGGTAACTTTTTTCCCTCTGACATCATATGTGACATGGTATTCACTTAATTGACTTGGACCCCACTCTTGGCCCAACATCCATATGCCCCCTCCTCCTGTCCATTGCTTCCAGCTGTGCCATTTCTTTCAACCCCAACTTTCTCTTTTCTAACCATATCCACTCCAAAACACCCATTTCATTTTTCCTCTTTCGGCCATCAAATATTATGATTATTATCATGCTATTTCAAGAGATAATCAGAGTGGATAACCACAAACTAGCGGCTATACTGTAGCTTAGTGCACCACAACTTGCTCTTTATCTTTACTACTACTATTACATACGAACATCTCTATTTTCATTTTCCCTTAACTTTAATAAAATTAGTATTACAAGTTAAGAAAACGTGCAGCATCTGTTGTAATTTGCACTCACATCATGCAAGTAATCATATATTTAACTAGAGTGGTCGAATCCAAATTGTTGACATATAGCATCCAAAAAAACAAAAACCTCATAACAAAGCAGAGCCACCATTCGTAAATGGTTTAGGTATTAAAACCCAAAAATGGATATGACAACCACCAAATTGGCTTTGTCTCGAGGGGGAAAGTGGAAAAAGAGGGTGAGGTAAACGGTAAACCTCAAACTTGTTTCACTAACGAAACCATGTCGGTCCTATGCCATTCCTTGTGAAACCAAACCCTTACGTTACTGCAATACCAATAAATTTAGATTTTTCGACCCCTAAATGGGGTCCTCCAAGCCTACGGATTAAACTCACGACATAGTTTTTTGCGTACAGACATGACATGCTGTGGTCATGCAGCATCAAAAGTCAACTTTTATAAGCAATTTTCCTCCCCCACCTCCACAACCGTTGAAGAAGTTGCACCTGCACACCGGCACCCTACAGTTATATAAATTTATATATATCTTTATTTTGGATACATGAGGGGCCAAATAATTTGTAAGTACAGAAACAGAGAAAAGGTAATCTAGATTCTAGCTATGCAATCAAATTATTACTAATATGTACAAAAACTAAGCGTATGGGAGGGTCCTAAACAGACGTTTTCCCAATAGCAATAAATTGTTTCTTCTGGAATTTCAAAGGGTATACAAACACAAGCTAGGTCGTCCAATATGTCACCCTTTTCGCCGTTATTGTTGCTTCTCATGTGAACACGTACACTTAGCTTGAACGTCTGAAAGCGTCTATAGAAAGTGTACATAGATATGTTAGAAGAAAATTAGTGTAAAATTCCACTTTGACATTGTTTATAACTTGGCGTTTTAAAATACCTGAACTTGCTTTTGAAGGTCTTTGATGTAATCCACAGCCAAGTCCAACATATCTGCCGTGTTTGTTTGCTGGAAAGGGAAACGATCAACACAAGGTGTGGTGTATGAAAATACATGCAAATTTTAGTAATCTTATTTTTTACCTTGTCCATGTTTGGGACAAGATCTTGAAGTTTCCTCATACGCTCGCTAATTTTAGTTCTTCTAACCTGGAGGGAAGCTCCACAAGAATATCCATAAAAAGAAAATACAACTCAAGTGTGGATACCCACTGATATGGTTTCCAAATAAAGAAAAGTGATGTGGGGAAATCTATTTAGAGTGAGGAAATATTTGGTTAGTTAGAAGAAATGGTACCCTCTCTGCAATGCTTCTAGGGTGAGTGGCACAGCCACGCTTGGCACGAATTTTGCACGGAACTGAATCTGAAAAGTGCAGAAACTTCTCAATGGCTGCCATTTCAGCTGAAGTATTCGGCAAACTCATTTGATGGGCCAAAGGACCAGGATTCTGTCCCGTTTCATTCTGATTAACAACACCAAAATCACGTCAATCCCATTGCAATATTTGTGGTTTGGATAACCCTTTCTATAATTAATTTTGAATGAAATTGATCCTGATTAGAATTGATTAACTGCAAATACATTTCTAAAAGATAAAAATAGAAATAAATTGAAATAAGTTTCTTCATAAATTAAAACTATATGATATATGAGTTAAAAGTTAAATTTTGAAAATATTATTAAGGGAGAACTTATATAGTATTGGTGCTTTAAAATTAATGGTACAACTTGGTAAAGATTTTTTTTTTCTATCTAAAAATCTAAAATCAATTAGACAGAATAAATTCTTCAACTTTGGACCAAACTTGTAAACATATCTAAAATCATGTTATCTAATATTTGAACGTGATTTTAGATGATTCAACATGAAACCAAACTCGAACTCACTAATCATACATAACATCAGATCTAGTACTGTTCTACCTGAGTCTCAGCTCCAGAAAATGGTTTTCCATCGTTTTCTCTAAATCTTTTCACACCACCCACGTTGTCAGACATCATTGCAGAATCATCCCAATGACCACCACCTTGAAAACCAGCCATAAAATCGTTACCACCATCAACAAAACCTTCATTATCAGGACTACCTTCTCTATTCCTGTCCCCAATTTCAGCTATGGACGACATTCGCCCCGACCCAAAATTCTGTTGATTCTTCAACCTCCTCGATGCAGAAAATTTCGCTTCTTCAACACTGTTATTAACCGCCCCCAAGGTCCCCACGCCTCTCACTCCAGCATACACTGCCAATTACGACAACAGTAAAACTCATTCATACTCTAAACACACACACAAAAAAAATCGAAACAAACACGCAGCCTAATATCCTAGTCCAAAATAATTAACCTCTTCTAACATAGTTGTACCTTGTACTTGTAGCAACAAAAATAAACATAAAGTAAAATTAAAAGTCCTTACCTCAAGTATTTAAACACCAATTCTGTTCCTTATTCAGGACCAGGATTCGATCTTTTTAAGTATAGAGTCGTCACTCGAAATATTATTTTATAAATCATAAATGAATTATGAATTGTACCTGGTTATAAAAAAAAAATTTAAAAAAAAAGTAGACATAGAACATAAAACAACATAGGACATACCATTTTCAATGTTAATTTGGGAAAATAGTCCAGCAGGGGAACTACTGTGGCGGATAAGGTTAGAATTATTTCTGAGTCCCATTGAATACGTTCCTTCCATAGCCGAGGGAAAGTTGTTGTGGTTGGGCAAAGGTGGTTTGGAAGAGGTTTGGAAGAAATGATGAGAAGCTGAGTTATAAGCACTCATGTTACTATTGGTCCCGTGAAGCGCCACGTGTTCCTGCGGGTTGCTAACCTCTTCTTCCTTAATAGCGGAATCAGTTGAGAGCTTGCGATGAAGCGAATCTTCTTCTTCTTTTTCTTTTTCTTCTTCTTGTTCTTCCGGTGCAGCATCGGCGCTTAAGCTGTTGATGAAGCCCGAGAAGACTCGCTCAGTTTCTGGACTCGAGGGACGGTTGAAAATGTGCTCGTAGAACTCGCGGTCGATGATGTTGGAGAAATAAGAGCTCGGCGCCGATCGGTACCGTGTCAAACCCGAAGAATTCACCGGAGCTTGTTGCTCGAGATCTGACTCCATTATTTCTCACACGTGCGGGAGAAGAAGAACACCAACAACGCCAGCAAGAAATTTAACTCAGATCTCTCTGCAACACTTGTGGGTGTGTTTTCTGTGTTGTGATTGGAGTGGTGGAGATGCCTGCAGCTGTATGTGTAAGAGAAAGAAAGCGAACCATTATTTTTTAGACAAAAATAAATAAATAAATAATTTCTTTTTCTTTCTCTGGTTATGCAGCCAATGAAAAGTGAGACACAGCCATAAATCTTGGTTCTCAGGTTTGAGATGTTTCCCGGGGGATTTTACCGAAGTGCCCTTGTCTTTGGGAGTAAGGTCATTAAGGTGACAGACAAACTGTTCCCAAGGGAGAAAGACAGAAAATAAATCCAAATTTTACGAGGCTAGGTTTTGATCGAATGGGAAGGGTACGAGGTGAAATGACTTTATTGCCTGCCACTTTTTTGCATGCTTCAAAACTTGATGCAATTCTATAAATTTTGTATGCAGTTACATTGCATAGGTAATTATGGTTTGTTACTCCACCACATGAGTGCCATCATGTTTAACCACTCCTTGAATTCAAAACAAGTACAATTTTGCATAATAATTTAGTGATTGTACTGATAATTAATTCTTGATGGAAATGAAATTCGTCACATGCTTGCATTCATTGGAAAAGATTTGCCCGGGATTTTTTAGGTGATACATTCAATAACAATACAACGGAGCACTCGAATATGATCAACCAGCTAATTAATTAACCCAAGAAACCTACCCAGAATGTGACTGGTGTATCTCACATGATTAAAAGTCGCAGTAATTTTTGTTTTTTTTCCCTGACCACGAAGTTGGAAGATGACGAGAAAAACCACAATTAAAGATCTGAAAAGCAAAACTAATTAACGCCCAAAGTCGAGCATTTTGGTAGCCACTTAGTGACTTAGGTACTTATTTATGGTTCCTCTCCTACTTCTTTCTTTCTCAACGGTGTTTTAATTTATGGTTTCTTCAAGTTAGTTGGTGTCATATTATTGTTTTTATGGTCACACTTGGGTGTCTCTCCACAAACAAGATGTGATGCTTTGGACAGTCAAAACAAATTGAGAAACTCAATTCCTAGTCAACTCAAGTTGATGTCATGCTGTCTAATAGTCATTCATCCAAATATGTGATACATGGAAAAGTATTGATCGTATTTACGAGACATTGCTCAGTCATAGAGGTTTCACATCTCTTATTTCTACCACACTAGTCATGCATGCTTTGTAACATATCAGAATTCTCTAAAAGACCCCTAAATAAGTTTTTGACCATTTATCTTATTTACAATAACATACACCGTACGATTTCCTATCTTTATTGTTGAAATACAGTTGTGCATTTCCACCAATTCATCAATTCAATAACCACAACATGTTAAGAGTAAACCTAGTTACCTCACTTATAACTACTTGATTCTACCATTTTCAAGAAAGCTATGATATTCAATATTAAAAACCTTGAAACAAATTAAATGTTTACTTAAGATAAAAAAACAATTAAAAAATGGTTGAAAAGAAATGTAGAGTATTAGAGGTAAGCATACTAGGGTCATCAAGCATGAGACATTAAGCTATAAATTATTATTTTTTAATTATTTGTGTCACTGCAGTGATTAAAAATTAAAGTAGTATGCATAACATTATTGTAACTTTTATTATTAAAAAATTATAAAATAAACTTTTAATATTGTGTGCTAAACCTTTTTGTTTTAAGAAATAAATAATTTTATCCTTAGAAATTTTTTAATTGAATAAGATAGCTCTACCCATCCATTAGATGTTCATACTTTTGAATGAGGAAAAAGATAAAAAAAAAATGAAAAAGAAAACAAGAAATGTGGTAGATTTGATGTAAAAATTATATATCAACCCACACAATGTGCAAGTAAATAAATAATTATTTAAATTACTGATATTTTAAAATATGTTAGAATATATTATTTTATTAATTGATTTATTAATTTTAGATGTGATTTCTTTAAATAACGTAATCTTAATAAATTTTATGATCTTTATATTTAATTTCTCTATCATGATAATTTTTTTTAAAAAAATGTATATATATATATATATATATATTATAAAATGAGAAAAATTAAATCACTTTTATATTATTTTTTTAAGTATCTTTTTTCTCCATCATTTTGTATATTATATGATTGACTTTAAATTATTTTTAAGTTTGTATAT